AAAGGATGGGGACAGCACTGTGTGTGCTGGGATACCAGTGGGATGGCCAAGGCTTCCTAAGACCCACCTGATAGATCAGTATCTGCTAATGGCACAGATTTCTGCAAGTTCTGAAAGTTCTCCTTGCCTCCTCTACATTGCAAAGATCACTGCAGAGAATATGTCTATTTAAAGTGCTGTTAAGTCAATTAGGTCCTTGGTTAAAATATTAATCTTTTTGCTCAGCATTCCTGAGTTATACCTACAACCTGTATGACAGTGTGTGATACCGTAAACGCAGTGATAGGGCAGAAAAACTGTTACTTTTTCACACAGCACCTGCAAAACATATACAACTCATATGTCCCTGACCCAATGGCCGTGTTTCACACTGGAAAACCTCCTCCCTCATTTTTGTAAACTGAATACCCAGCAGCGTGACTGTGTTGCCCCGACCAAATCTTAGTCTTTCTTCAGTGAATTCCACATCCTATTTCCATTTGGAATCTCCTTGGGCTCCAGTGTGAATTTTCTGCTTGCTACAGACCAAAGGCAGTAGATGCAGAACCACCCTGACCTGGACTGGATGTCTTTTCTCTTTGGGTTACTTGTAAAGCTCCAAGGAATGGACAACTTCCTGGTCTTTATAGATAAATGCATTTAAAAAAAAGCCCATAAACTGTGCTCAGAAAACCCAGCAAACCTAGAATATCTGTGCCCAGACCCCTGATCACAGTAGCAACAAGCCAGGCAGCGTGGCACGGCCGTCAGCCTCTCTGCGTGGCACATTCACAATTAGCACGCCACCTCCAAGGGTACTGAATTCTGTATCCTCTGCCATAGCAGCCAGTGACCCTTTCTAAACAGGGCTGATTTGCTGTTATTAGGAGATAAGATCTGCGTGGTGCAACATATTGACATGAGGTGAGAGCTTTCTTAGGGCAGCAGCAGAATGCTTCAATATAATTCAGAGGAAGCTGTATCAGGCGGCAACTGAAGGCATGTATTACAGTGCAATCAAAGAGGATGATCAACAAACTAAATTAATTAGAAACGTGTGCCCTTTCTTTTACTTCCACGCCAAAGACAGAAACACTTACAGGAATTAGAAATATTGCAGCATCATACCTGTCTAGCCATATTTTGCAAGAGACCTTTCTTTTTTTTCCAGACATTAACCTTCATTAACCTTCGCTGGAAGGGAAAGAAAACAAAGCGCAATAAAAGCGCTGCAAAACTCAAGCCACACAGTTGGAAGAAAAAACCCAATCCATTTTCTGAAAAGATTCTGAATGTCCCTCAATTCAGGGGACTGGATCTTGGCTTGAGAACAGTTTTGTACTGTAAGATGTATTATCCTTCTTGCATTCACAGCACCAGCAGAATAACAGTCTGGCTGTGTTAAACTTCACAAGTGACAATGAAGCACGCCTTTCATAGAATCATAGAATTGTTTAGGTTGGAAAAGACCTTTAAGATCATCCAGTCCAACCATTAACCTACACTACCAAGTCCACACTAAACCAATCAAGGGTAGACTAGACTAAACCATGTCCCCAAGTGCCACATCTACCCGTTCTTTGAACACTTCCAGGGATGGTGACTCCACCACCTCTCTGGGCAGCCTGTTCCAATGCTTGACCACCCTTTCCATAAAGAAATTTTTCCTATTTTCCAACCTAAACCTCCCCTGGCGCAGCTTGAGCCCATTTCCTCTCGTCCCATCGCTAGCTACTTGGGAGAAGAGCCCAACACCCACCTCACTACAACCTCCTTTCAGGTAGCTGTAGAGAGCGATAAGGTCTCCCCTCAGCCTCCTCTTCTCTAAGCTAAACAATCCCAGTTCCCTCAGCTGCTCCTCATAAGGCCTGTTCTCTAGACCCTTCTCCAGGAAAATCTTATTGAGATTGTTAGTTACAGACTCTAGAACTCAGAGTCACTGTAAAGGTATCAGTGAATTTTTCAGCAGCATTTAAGGTGACCCTTTTTGTGTGTGTGTATATATACCTGTATATGTGAAATACAAATATGTGTATGCATGTGTGTATGTGATCTGTTTATATACAAAAATGGAGCTGCTGTGCAAACTGACTGACTGTTAACATATCAGCTGAATTTATTTTAACACACTCTGGCAGATGTCCCAATTGCTGCATTACAGAAAATTAGTACTATGCACGTTCTGATCTGTTAGGCTGGTGATGGATTCATAGGCAGAAATGCCCATGTGTATGGTGAGAAACATGGAAAGAAATGTTTGTTCAATTTTCAACAGGCCTTTGGAGCTCAGAGACCCAGCAAATGTAATGGCAACTGATACCTGTCTTAAACTGAGCTCATCCGAAGTAAAGATGTACAATGTCTGACTTTTACCGTCAAGAGAACTGCCACAAAAATCACGTTTTTGTCATTAGAAAATATAAAACCTTCTGCAGTTCTGCCTCAGGCTCTTGGAAACTCACATACTTGAAAACCAGTGTTTTGGGTGGGTGAGGAACATTCTGCAGAACAGCTTTCATTCAGCTGGGATGGGTCCTGACAGTGCTTGAAAAAAGCACATGGATACTGAAAATCCAGATTAAAACTGCAACTTCATCATACCCACTGCAAGCGTACAGGCCTCTCAAATCAAGCTTGGCAGAAGCGAAAGAGCCTGGATTCAGGAGAGACTGAGGAGATCCGGGTTGTAGGTACCTTCTGTACCTCAACCCTCTCTCCAAAACTCGCAGGCTACTGACTGACATCATTCCTTCTGCAGGCCTGTCAGGGGTTTTGTCCCCAGGATCCGTCCGGTCACACTGAACCGTATCACCCCATGCGATACCCCATCCACAGAACAACCTCCCAAAGCAGTACGCCTCTCCTACTTCCCTGAGTCCTGCAGAGCTCGGTCCAAAGCTTTATCCAACCGGTGGATACCTCTGTCCTTGAAGGACTGTACCTAAAGTCAGACAGCACAAATAATAGCCCTAGAGTCATGACTGGCTTTTGGAGTCTTTTGGTCTCTTCCAGATCCAGCTCAATGGTGATTTAATTCTTTTTTGAAGCGCTCCCTCAGTTAAACCCTTAATTATAATGTCATCTTAGATCTTCGGACTTTCTGCCCCCACTCCCCGCCCAGGAGTTTAAGTATGACATTAGCTAAAAATATGCTTCTGATATGTCCCTTTTGTGATCTAACCAGGAAGGGAATGGAAGAGAAATTGCATTTTTGTAATTATGCTTTAAAAGATTACTTATATACATACTTAAGGTCTAATTTTAGCAACTTGCAGAACTTCTAGGGGAATTCTAATACAGCAAACGGATTGGCAGGATCAAGAGATAGCACAATTAAGCCTGTAGTAACCCGCACCACCTAAATGTACTTAAAGCAAAAATGGGCTGTGCACCAAAGTAGAAAACAAACAAACAAATTGCTTAAGCAGCCTATGGGTTGCATTAAACAAAGTTGCTATTGCCAGCAATGCATTGACTCTGCCATGTCACGGGACTGTGCGTTCCAAAACAAAATCAAAATCCACCTTGCATCGCAGTGCAAAGACAGCCAGCTCTGGGCCCTGGGGAAGCACACTGCAAAGCAGCAGGCCTTGGCAGAGAAATACCTTTCACTGATCCTAGACAGTTCATTCTATGGAGTGTTCCCAGGTGATTTCTAACTGCTACAGTGATGAACAGGCTGAAAGGCAATATCTCCGTTAAAAAAAAAAAAAAACAGAAGAAAAGAGAACAACTAAACAAAGGCTGCTCAAGTCGCTGACACAAATATCCAAAAAATGTAACTATAACAGTAGCAAATTGTTTGGAATAGACACAAAATGCAAGTTTCAGAGCTGAAGTCAATAACTAGCTCAGAAAGAGATCACAAGAAGATGTTTCAGTTGGGTAGATTCACCTCTGTCTGCCTACTGCATAGTTAGACAGTCCTCCAGAGCATTTGGAAACGTAGCGACTGCTGTCAGGAAACAGTCTGTTCTCACATTTTTATGCCTCCCACTAAAGCTGATCTGTGATCTGAGGAGAAGAGATATATCCTCTTTGGTGAAAAACATTGCAATAACACAGCTCACTAGGACAATGTCTACTTAGAACAATGTTAACTTGGTTTGTGCTTTGAGGAAGACAGAAATGTAGGTATTTTGGGGACGGGGTGTGGGATGGGAGGAGGTGGGAGAAGACTCACTGCGCACACGCATGCTTTCAGTACAAAGCTTCCTGATGGTGAACCGCATGGAGCAGAACTACAGAAATTTCAGGATCTAGTCTTTCTCTTCACTGGCAAATATTGCTCCTCAAAAAATGGTACCTAAACAAACACTAGAGGAGAGTCGAGATTCTTCACATCTTTCAGCTAAATGGAACGTTGTCAAATGAGAAGCAAATGGTAGAATATTGCAGCAGTGACAAAAGCTCTGATCCGACAGTCAGGGCATACTGCTGTGCTCATGCAGGGCCTCAATGACTTTAATAAGCCTCCACAGAAGCAGAGCAGTCCCTTTGTACACTATCAACTATGACACCAGGACCTAATTCAGTATTCAGCTCCACACCCCCATCATGTTGGCAATAACTCAGAGTTGGTGAGACAACTTGTAAAGGATAAAAAAAAAAAAAAAAAAAGCAGTGTTTTAAACCTCTCTATTTTAATGTTAGCTTTTTATGTGTCTAACATCAAAGAATTTTTTCACTTCTATTTAATCAAAATTAATCACTAAGATTACTACAGTAATTTATGTTGGAGATTATTGAAATGAGTGTTTTATTAAAATCTGCTTTTATTAATAAAACACATTCTGGCTAAGGAATCATGTGAGTCTGCTATTAGAGACTATTAACTGGGAACTGGGAGTTAATCATAACAGTCATGCTGCCAGATCCTTTGACAGCAACACACACTGGGTTTGTTTCTGCTTTTACTTTTACTAGCATATTGAAGTCAGTTAGTTACCCTAGAAAGGAAACAAAGGTACGTACATCTCAGTAGTTTTGAACAAAGAAAGGGTAATCAGAAAGAGACTCACCAGCCTGATTAGTTGTGATGCTGACAGCAGCAAATTGCCTGGAAAGTGTACTCAAGTCAGATACCCCGTTGACTGCATCAATCTCAAAAGTGTAATTGGTATGTGCCAAAAGGTCCACTACTGTCACTGTGGTGTTGGTGAGTCCAGTCTGACGGGGTAAGAATCGCACGTTGTCACTACATGGCTCACACATCTTGATGCTTCCTCCACACTTTTTGCAAATGATGTTGAAAGTGACATCTTTCCGACCTCCAGTGTCAAGAGGCCAGCTCCAGTCCAGGATAACGGATGTCTCATTGATGTTAGAAATAACGTTTCTTGGAGCAGATGGTGGTCCTATAAAAGGAAACAGGAGATCAGAGGGATGAGATTTTTCTGTAGTGCTCTAAGATGGGAGTAACAAGGGTGCAAAAATACAAAAGTCAAAAACATAAAGCACCAAACTCATCTAGTTATTTCCTATAGAGAGTCCTGGAATATTTCACTGGACTACAGACCTAGACTATCAAGGACCATGTTTTCTTATACACAGACAGTACCCTCAGGGTGCAGTTCAGGATTGAGGGGTGAAAGTGTTGGTAGCAATTTAAAAATCCTAGCTCTCCTTCTTGAGTCTGACAGAGAACAAGAAAAAGAAAATGAAAACAGAAAGACATAAACCCAGCCCATAAATTTTTGGTAGCCCGTCCAACATGTAAGAAGACATGGGAGGCAGTGGATGGCTGACTGCAATGGGACGTGAGAGGAAGCAAGCAAGCTGCTGAGATACAGATGGAGAAGCAAGAATGACAGCCCCGAGCACAATGATGCTACTCACTGGTGCAAGCCATGGATGGAGGGTCTTTCTCAGAGCGAAAGTAATTCTTTTCACACCTGCAGTTCAGAGACGCATCTTCGTAGGTAGAGCTGTGAGGTGGGCATTTGGCACACTTCACGTTGCCGGCAGAGGCTTTGTAGAATCCAGGTCGACAAGCTGCAAAATAACAGTAGTATAGCTTTAAATTACATGGACATCTCCTCAATTTTAACACGTGACTTTGTTACTGCCCTAGGACCTATCCATATGTAGATCACATTTTGCAGATGTTTATGGTCTAAAAATACACATTTTTCTCATAATGAGAAAGCTGATGGAAATAAAACCTCTTGGCAGAATGGAACTCTTCATGCATCAACTTGGATTTGCATTTAATTTTGCCTGGAAAACAAAACAGAGTATTGCACCACCAAGAAGAAACATTCTCTATGTCGCAGTTTGAGAACTTAACTTATTTTTCTTCTCTTCTGGTTAATTTACCAAAACACTGGCCCTATCCTGCATAAGAAGCTAACTTTATCCTCTTTCTGCTGCCAAGGTTTGCTTACAAGGGCACACTAATTATAACGTGACTCTTCAGTTCA